GCGTTAAATACCGCATGGTCAACATTTCCCGAGCCCTCCATCATAGCGTCACTCTTAATTATATCGTGCGTTGGAGCGTAAAGCCCAAGGTATTGTCGAATGATTGAGCAGGACAGCTGAACAGCGGACACATAACCATTTAGGGGCGAAGCTCCTTAAAGCGGCACCCGTTCGTTCATCGTAGTAGTCTTAGACGTAGTCGTAGTGTGCAACCAGTATACTTAACCGTTTGTGAGCCCTGCCAGAGCCGTAAAGAGCCATCTTCTCTACCAGCCGGATACCTTTTCAACCGATCGAGGTTTCCGCTCAACCTTTTAGGGGTGAACATTCTTGAAGTGGCACCCATTCGTTCACCGTAGTAGTCCTAGTCGTAGTCGCAGCAGAACAGCAGGACAGCTGAATTTGCGTTGCTCTGCTTGGTATCCATATTTCTACGTCCTAACTTCCTTTATAACGTATACGTACGAGCTATCAGTATCTAGAAGCTGACTAGGTCTGCGGCTCCCGTCTTCCTCCATTCGAGCTGAGCTTTACGTAGGTCTAAAAAACTCTGAGCTTCACGGTAACTAACTTAGCAACCATAGCCCTCTCGCACTTACTTTCGAACAGAAAACTTTAGTTGTCTTGAAGATCGGGTGTGAACAAGACTTGATTCCATGTAGTACCCAGAAAATTGTGGCATCTGTAATGACACCTTGTGTAGTCTTCTTTTTGAATTATTTCTTTATATATGTGCAATAATAAAACAGGTCGTGCCCGGACACGAAGCTCAAAATGTAATTACAAATACTCACCTTCAATTAATGATTCAAGGTCTGATGTATCGGTAAAAAATCTAGGGTTAATACTAGGATACTCTTCGGGATTGGTGCTCCTCAGCCGAATGTAGCCTGATGATTTGGGGCGCAGAAGTGCTGGCACAATCATGAATACGTTGTCACCATGCTTTCGCTTGTAGTAGTTTTCATATATCTGCAATAGTACACAAATAAAACGTCACGCATATGTAGTGCATTTTATGTTGCGGTAAAATTGAACACTTGAAACATACGTTTGGGTAACTGCACCTCCCGATTGCACACGCATTATTCACACTTCATATAACGACCATGAACTTCCGAAACTTAAGAATACCTTTTGAAAAACAGGGATAGGATACAATGTTTTCAATGTAGGGGAGCGACTGCCTTGTTCTTTCTTTTATTTGCATTTACTAAAACAATTTATATGTTTTCAAAGGCATACACTGTCCTGGGGCCATAGCACTGACGAAGGCAACAGTTGACGTCTCCGACTTCAAGCTTTTATTTGAAAAAATTGTGGCTGCGAAACAGAAATCAATGCCCACCGCACACTGATAGCAGCGAACAAGCATCGGACGTCGATAAAGAGAAAAGTGCACTAGCGTCTCAGCTTTTATACGTGCATAATCGGATTTCTGGTCTTATCTATAGAACCACGAAAGTTCCAGTCTTAACTCTAGATATATGTGAGTTTAAACACCATATGAATATGAGAGATGCTGTGGTGGAGGGCTCCGAAAATTTCGACCACCTGGGGTTCTTTACGTGCAGCCAATTATAAGCACATGAGCCTACCGCATTTTCACCTCCATCGAAATGCAGCTGCCGCAGCCGGGCCGCGAGCTGCGGGTCAGCAGACGAGTACCTTAGCCGCTAGACCACCGCGGCGGGGCCAGTCCTAACTTTAATGTTGGAAATGCGCACGTATTGTGACTCACAAGGTTCTAAGATTGTCGAAGTCATTTCCAACCGTTTCATCACTCTTTGAAATGGGTCACTGGTACATTGAAATACAATATTACCATGAAAATACAAATAAAGGAGCATGTATGGTCATATATTGGTTTAATCTACTCTAGAATATACCAAAGCCTTTCGAGCGGGGAGCGGGCATATTTCCACTGCGCTAATTTGGCAAAGCCGTGCACAACTATTCAAAAGACAACACATAGTGTACTACTGGTTGGAGTGCCCCAAGCTACGCTGCTTCGACTTCACTTGTTGATGCTCGTTCTGAGCTTTTTCCTGTTTTAGTACACTTAACTGCTTGGCAAGCCTCACAAAGTGCTTCCATAAAAGGCATTAATTTCCAGCATTGCGCTATCCAATATATATATATAATATATACTAAAGAAGTTTTTCCAGTTTTTCCAATGGGCCAAACGTACTTTGGAAAAGAAGAAACACAAATTAGCAGTTGTCTTAATTTTATTACCAACGGTTTCGACCCGGGCAATCTCTGAGAAGACCGGTCCACCGGTCAAAACCGTTGCTAATAAAATTAAAAAACCTCTAGGTTGTGTTTCTTCTCTTCTATATATATATATATATATATATATATATATATATTATATATAATATATATATTATATATATATATATATATATATATATATATATATATATATATATTATATATATATATATTATATATTATATATATATAGGTAGCGTTGCATATATTCCAGTAGATACTCCGTGAGCGGTCACAACGTGGTTTATTTCGACGTTTCGGCCTAGAGTCTGGCCTTCATCAGGATGAAAGATACAGTTTGTTCGTGCTCAGCTTTATACAATCTCAAATCAGAGCGGAAGGAAGAGGAAAAAAAGACAGAAAAGTTAAAAGGACAAAAAAGAAAAAAAAAAGGAAAAGGAAAGAAAAGAAGAAAAAAGAGAAGAAGAAGAGAAAAATAATATACGGTGGATGCCCCTCGGTGCCCCCCTTCCACTCTTCCTTCCACTTCCCCCCTCCACTTTTCCCTCCTCTTCCCCCTTCAACTCTCTCCCCTCCCCTTCACCTTTCTGATGTCAGCGGTCTGTGTATGTTTCCGTTCACTAACTCATTTCTCCCGATCAGACGGCCCCTCCTGGCACTGGCGGTTCGGTGTGGGCTCTTTTTTGCCCTCTTTTTTTGCCCCACACCGAACCACCAAAACCTTTCTGCTTTTTCGACGTGTGTCTGCTTTTTATTCATACTATTTACTGGTGTCCAAGAATTTATTCCCTGCAATTATATATATATATAGATCTCATAATTATTGTGTCAAAACAAGGAAAAACGAGCCCTTAGGTGTACACTTCTTTCCCTAATATATATATATATATATATATATATATATATTATATATATATATATATATATATATATATATATATATATATATATATATATGTATATATGTATATATATATTGTTGCGAGAAGGAGACCGACTCGAAGGAGTAGTCATTGATGTACTTACAGCCGGTTAAGCGGGCAGCTCCAGCCACACAGATTAGCTCGCACCAGTCTATCTGCTTTGTCCTCTTCAACTCCATGCACTGGCACGTAGCATGCCCCCGGCGGCGAAGACACCGGCCCGGTGCTTTAATGGTCATTATCTGACGCATTCCTGTAGGGCTTGATCCGCGAGACGTGTACAATATCACTGGACCACACAGCATATGATGGTGGATAGATGGAACTGATCTCGTAGGTAACAGGTGTTACTTGACGCAATATACGGTAGGGTCCCGTGTGATGAGACAGAAGCTTTAGGGGCGAAGCTCCTCATGGCGTGGCTTGGGCGTCCCTCGTAGTACGTAACCACCAGTGGCACATACCCGAAATAGGTATAACATTTGACCTCCAAGGTGGTGCCGGTAAAAGATTTCTTCTGTGCGTTGTTTAACAATAAAAAATTGTGCTCAATGTACATGCCAATGGCTGCTAATGGGGAATGAGAGACGGAGCATTCGGCTTTTAGTCAACGCGCACGCTGCGATTCCCATTAGCAGCCATTGTGATGTGCATTGAGCACTATCGGACAAGAAAGGGTTGCTACATTATACTCGCTGGGCGTAACCTCCTTGGTTTTAGGAAGGTTTAGCGAGCATTGGGCTGCAGTGCCATGAATATAGTGAACTAGTATATACCATGAACTCAAGGTGGTTGAAGGTGGGAAGTAGACCCGAAGCGCAAGCCGTAAGAAAGTGAGCGTGTGCCACCTCTCGTTTAGTCCTTGGAATGTCCACTGAATGGCGGTGCTTCTATATGGGGAATATATGATAAAAAGGTGCGAGATGGTGGGACTTGGAGTGTTCAATAGATTGACGAACGGACACGCAGACAGATGCATGGATGGACGCATGAACGGACGCAGGGGCGGATGCATGAACGAACGCAGGGACGGTCGCACGAACAGACGCATGGACGGTCACACAGACGGACGCATGGACGAACGAATGCGTCGCCCCACTCTCCATTATTCACTCCGTGGATATGCTGCCATTTTTTCTGATAGGTCCAGCCAACGATGAGGGGACCAGAGTAAAACGAGGGTACCGAAAGCGAATGTACGTCTGTATGTTCCGCATTGTACCGACGGCATTGGTTGGTTTGCGACGCCATCAGCTGAGCGCAAGCGAGATGACGGGCATGATCGGCTCGCTCAATCGCGTCGCGGGCATACTCGTTGGTGGACGAGGTGTGAGCTTAGATGACTGTGTACATTGGTAAAGTCGGCTCTCTTCCGTACAGTAAGTAGAACAGCGAAAAGCCCGCTGTGTCGTGACGGGAGGAACTAGACGCGAAAGTTGCGTAGGGTAAGGCAAGGTCCTAGTTTTGGTGGTCGGGCGACACGTACATAGCGAGCATATTATTAGAGTGAGGTTAAATCGTTACGTGAGGCCATTTGTTTGAGGGTGGTAAGCGGCTGTCAGTGTGTGTTGCGTGGAACAAGAACGCAGAATGTCGGCGATGACTTGGGATAGAAATGTACGGCCACGATCTGTGAGAAGCTGTCTCGCTGCACCGTGAATCATATAACGTCCCGTATCAAGAAGTCAGCGACGTCGGTTGCTCAGCTGGTCGGTAGAGCTCGCGTAATAGCGTAGCGTGTAGCGTATTCTGTAATAACGGCTATCCATTTTTTCCCAATGTTGATGTGGGAAAAGGACCAAGCAGGTCTGATCCAACACGGTAAAATGGTTCCGCGGGTATGTCAATTGGTTGAAGATGGCCAGCGGCTAGCAGCGATGGTGTTTTACGACGTTGGCATAGGTCACACGTGGTGACGTATCGGCGTACCGAGCGAGCAAGGCCTGGCCAGAAGAAACGGCGGCGGACGCGCTCGTACGTTTGGGATACGCCAAGGTGTCCAGCCCTGGGAGCGTCGTGAATTTCGGCGAGAACACAGCGGCGCAAATTTTTAGGCACAACAATTAGAAGGTCAAGCCCGTCTGGTCGGAAATTGTGACGGTATAGCACACCCTTTTGAATGAAAAAGTAGTGGACGTAGGCGTCATTTGGGGAAGATTCCATACGGCTGATGATGTCAAGCAGCACTGGATCGCGCTTCTGTTCTTCCCCATTATTAAGGAAGTTGGACACTTAGAACATAAAGTTCTCCGTGGTCTCGTCAGTGTCCTCAGGATCGTCGACAGGGTATCGGGAGAGGCAATCAACATCATGGTGTAGGTGGCCAGATTTGTAGACCACCGAATAGGAAAACTCTTGCAGGCGCAAAGCCCAGCGACCAAGGCGGCGGATCTTTCAGAGAGTTAAACCAGCAGAGCGCGTGGTGGTCGGTAACTACCGAAAATGGGCGTCCGTATAGATAAGGTCGAAATTTCGCCACTGCCCATTCAAGAGCCAAGCACCCACGCTCTGTGATTGAACAGTTACGTTCAGGGGCGGATAGGAGGTGGCTGGCATATGCAATAACGCAATCATGACCATTTTATGTCTGAGCCAGCATTGCACCAATGCCATGTCCACTTGCATCTGTTCGGATTTCCGTAGGTGCAGCAGGATTGAAGTGTGCCAGAATCGGAGGAGTAGTGAGAAGAGCGATGAGAGTCGAGAACGCAGAAGCCTCTGCGGAGCCCCGTGAAAAACGGGACGTCTTTCTTGAGGAGCTACGTAAGCAGCCTCGCTATGTGCGCAAAATTTTTCGCGAAGCGTCGGAAGTAGGAACATAGTCCGATAAAGCTATGTACATCCTTCGCAAATCATGGTAAAGGAAAGTTTTTGACGGCGCTGATTTTGCCGTGTCTGGTTGTACGCCGTTGGCGTCTACTAAATGGCCAAGTACTGTGATTGATTGCGTCCAAAGTGACGTTTGGAAGAGTTGAGCTGCAGGCCAGCGCGACGGAAGATTCTCAAGATGGCTGAGAGGCGCTCTATATTAGCTTCAAATGACGGTGAAAAGACGATGACGTCGTCTAAGTAGCACAAACAGGTGGACCATTTGAATTCTCTGAGCAGGGAGTTCATCATTCGCTCGAAGGTGGCGGGCGCGTTACAAAGGCCGGAGGGCATGATCTTGAACTGATATAGGTCATCGGGGGTGATAAATGCCGTTTTTTACGGTCCATTTCATCTATCTCTATCTGCCAGTAGCCGGAACAATGGTCTGTGGAGGAAAAATAATGGGACCCATAGAGGCAATAAGCGCATCATCTGTTCGTGGCAGGGGGTACACGTTCATTTTGGTAATTTTGTTAAGGTGTCGTAATCAACGCAGAAACGCTATGCACCGTTTCTTGCGGACTAGTACTACAGGAGAAGCCCAAGGACTGCACGATGGCTCAATAATGCCCTTGGAGAGCATTTTATCGATCTCACTTTGGATAACGTGAAACTCGGCCGACGACACCCGATATGGACGCCTATGAATTGGATGCTCATTACCAGTGCTTGTGCAGTGGGTCATAGCAGTAGCTTTCTCCAACGGACGACCGCTGAGTTCAAAAACGTCGATGTAGGAAAGCAGAACGCGGTAGAGCTCATCAGTCTGCTGCGGCGTTAAGTTGGAAGCAATCATCCGCTTATAGCACCGTCGGAGCAAGTGGCAGATTGATGTTGAGCGTGGGGGTCACAAGGAGCGGCCGTCGTGAAAACATCTACCGCATTGTCTTCTAAGGTGCAGAGCAATGCCAAAGAGATCCCTTGTGGCAGCACTTGAGGTGTCAAGCTAAAGTTCACAACTGGGAGGCACGTAGAATTTCCTCTGACGGACAGAATGGTGTGCGGTAATGTAATGACAGTTTATGAGGACATTGGTGATAGGGGTCAGAACATAGTCACCGACGGGAACTGGTGGTTGAGACGAGCTCTATGTAGGTCAGTGTCTGTGGAGGAAGGCGCGGTGTCCCGTTGTGCAGAGGTGACTCGGCCGTTGTGCAAGAGGTTCTGTTGCGGGCAAGTGTAGACGGAGCGTACTGGACGAACAGTCTATGAGGGCAGAATGCGCTGACAGGAAGTCGACGCCTAAGATTACGTCGGGGGCATATATCAAGGACGGTGAAGAGAACAACTGAGTGTCGATCCGCAATGCTTACACGAGCGGAGCACACTCCAACGATTGATGCTATTCTGCCGTCTGCAATACGGACGAACTGAGTAATCGCAGGTGTGAGAACCTTCTTGAGCTTGTGGCGAAAATCACTCGTCATCACGGAAAGTTGAGCGCCGGTGTCGACAGGAGCAGTGACAGGTACGCCGTCTACTTGTACGTCTATAAGGTTCCGTTTTGTCGGTATCGTGAAGAGAGGATTTTCGCTCAAACCGAGCGATGCAGCGCCACCTCCCGGGGCTGCAACACTTAGTTTTTTGTCGGGGAACCTCGTGGGAAGGCGGGAAGACGGTCGGCGGGGCTGTGGAGAACGAGACTGGCGACGTTGGGGGGGTGGAGAGCGGGAGTAGCGGTGTTCAGTAGCAGGTGTCTAGGCAAATGGTCACGGCTGGTCTTAAGGCAATAGGCAGGACGTGCATAGATGGACAAGAGGAGGCTTGTACAAGAGGACCCCAGCGACTTCTGCAATGGCGAGAAATGTACCCGTTGGTGACACGAGAAGCAGATGGGCTTGTTATCGTGTGTTCACCATGCGAACGGAGTACGGAACGTTGAGAGAGAGCCGGTTGGGAAGGGACGTGCAGGCGTGTATTGGGGCTGAAAGTTGGTGCGGGGAGGCGGTGAGATAGTGTGAATTCCCATGCTGGCGATTTTCTGCGGGACGACTGCTTGAGTGAGGGGCAACCTAATTGGAGGAGAGGGGTCAGGAGACGTTGGTCTCACCTTAGCTGGAGCAGCCGCTTCAAGTTCGCGCCTGACGAGTCGCGTCAAGTTGTCACAGGTGTCTGGGATGATATGTGTCGAGCCACGAGGACGTTGCAGCGGTGTTCGGAAGGCACTGGAACTGATGGGAGATGCGCCTGCTTTTGCTTGTTGGAACCAGCGGCATTCTTGAATGATCGCATCAACAGATGACACATTGTTGAATACCAACAGGTTGAAAGCATCGTCGGCGATACCCTTTAGGATATGGGCAACATTTTCGGGCTCTGGCATGTTTTCGTCAGCTTGGCGGCATAGTGAGAGGACAGTCTGAATGTAACCGATGTAGGGCTCCGCGGAAGATTGTGCGCGATTCGACAACTCATTCTTTGCAGCTTCACGACGACCAAGGGTGTTGCCAAAAAGCTCACGGATCTTTTCCTTGAAGCTGTCCCAGCTTGTTATGTCATGCTCGTGGTTGGAAAACCAAACACGAGGGGTTCCGTCGAGATAAAAGATGACGTTTGCGAGCATAAGTGTGGGATCCCACCTGTAAGTAGCACTGACGCGTTCGTAGAGGCGTAGCCATTTGTCGACGTCGAAACCTTCGCGACCTGAGAACACGCCTGGGTCATTGAGGGCGGGAAGCATCACGAAAGTTGTTGCAGGCGCTGGGTTGACAGGCCGGGCAGAATGGCGGGCGACCGGGGAGGATGTAGCTGAGTCTTGAGTGGTAAAGTTGAAAGCCGCGAAGGAGCGTCTGCTTCGGAATTCCGTGGCGAGGACGGGCATCACACAACTCCACCAAATATGTTACGAGAATGAGACCGACTCGGAGGGGTAGTCAGAGATGTATTTACAGCTGGTTAAGCTAGCAGCGCCAGCCGCACAGAATAGCTCGCGCCAGTCTATATGCTTTGTCTTCTTCAACTCCCTGCACTGGCATGTAGCAATTATATATATATATATATAATATATATATATATATATATATTAAGAAAAAGTATACCTAAGGGCTCATTTTTCCGTGTTTTGACACAATAGTAAGGAGATCTAACAGACAGTAATGCCAAGGATTGTACAGGGGAAGTTATTAGAACCAATGGAATGTAAATAAGAAAAAGAAAAGTGGGTGAAAAATAACCAGCGGTGAGCAGGAAACAAAACTACGACTTCCAATAACGCGTTCAATGCTCTAACCACTGAGCTATCTCAGCGGCATTCCCTCCATCCACTTTTTTGGGTTTATATGTGAATTTAGAAGTAGGGGTGTCAGTCAGCGCCATCTATAGGCCAAGTGACGAGTGTGAAACACTCTTTTATGCGCATGTGTGGCGTCGTAGTACGTGAACTTATTACGAGCGGGTAGATGACTACGGCCTGCTCACGGCTGGTTATTTTTATCCACTTTTCTTTCTTCTTATTTACATTTAATTGGTTCTAATATCTTCTCTGTACATTCCGTGTCATTACTGTCTGTTAGATCTCATTATTAATATATATATATATATATATATATCTATATATTATATATATATATATATTATATATATATTATATATTATATATATATATATATATATATATATATATATATATATTATGTACCTCCACCACTTGCAACACTACTTCCACCCCAATGCTTCCTCGGAAATAGAGGCAGCGTGTATGACGGTGCCACTCACATCGTTTTCCAGAGTAAACGCACTGTTTTGCACATGTTCTGCGAAGACATGCAAAAGGTGGAATTTGTTTCTTGATGCTAGATTCCACAGATTTCCAGTTGTCATAGTGATCCCAATCTGTGGTTGATGTTTACATTTTCTTTTTAAGGCCATTACTGAACTGAAGTACCTTACTAAATATAAATTATGCCCTTTTGATTACAAAAAACATGTAGGAACAACACAAAACTATTTTCGTTCAAGTTCAATAAAGTTTCGCATATATTCATGGTGAAGAAAGGTTTAAAGCATTAATATTGAAGTAAAAATTGAAGCTCACCTGTGATACGCCTATCAGACCGGCTAGGTATCCTGCTTCGACAGTCGTGGGGTTGAGTGTCACGAGAAGAAACTGAATATTTGGGTGCGTCGGATCAGCATCTGGCGTGCTCAAGAACGCGACGCACTCAACACCGTATGCATGAATAAGTGGCCCTGAAACAAGAATTCAGTACAGTTTCGTGTTTCCTAAACGTCCAACAGAACCTCGCCATATGATGACAAGGGAACTATGGCTGGACGCTCTGGCAGGTTAGTAAACATAGAACAATGATAGCGTCTACTATCTTCGAGCCCAATTCACTAAATTCAGGGTACCTGCTTAGTAGCCGGTAGCTATTGCAGTTGTTACTCACCAGTAATTTTCTTCGTGTTTTTCGCCAGATCAATACTGGGTCAGTCATATGCTGCATGATTATTGTCAGATGGCTAAGCCTGAATAGTCATGTCAAAAACTACTTGTAATTAGAATAAAATAGCTTGCCATCTTATTGGAAAAACATTTTCGTGACTTTCGCGCACAAAAGCACTAATCTCTACGACAATGAAGCGTTCAATTTGAAAGAAAATATACATTCATCACCTAACTTAGTCCGAACGGCAGCTGGAAAAGTTGGTGCATGCGATTTTGCAGTGTTATCCTTAGAAATACTAGTAAAGCCTGAAGCCTCAAGTATTTACACTCTCGACATCACTTTCTGTTTAAATTAACTTGTTATCCGCGAAAACACACAGATATGTTTTATGACAAACACTTTGAGTTTGCCCACGAAAACAGGAGCACACTTTTCATTATTGTGCGTGGGTTTATCGCAGAAAGCGTTCCATGTGTAAACGCACAAAGCTTCCAACACGAACCTTTTTGTACTTTAACATCCCAATCAAATATCATTTTGGGTCCTCTTAGGAGGCTATTACATGAAGGGATGGCTATATTTCAAAGTAAAAGTGCAAAACAAGACGTGAGAAACGTGTCATATCTGTGAACAAAATACAGCAGTGTATATGTCAAGAAAAGCATTTAAAGATGTAGAATAAACTTAAATAAGCAGCAACATGTATAACATAAATATGAAGCTATAAAATTTTTTTATACATAACAACAATCATAGATGCAGAATTACGGCGAACTTACGCTGTTGCAATATATATTAATGCGTACATAACTAAAATAGGTAGTGAATGAGTCTACGTAAAGCTTTTCATGAAATAAAGCCTAAAAGTTGGTTAGTTGGCTTCAACCACTAAGTGTAACGCTAGCTTCCTACATTTATGATTGTCCGCGGTGTAAATGATTCACGATAAGCAACGTGTCAACACTATATGCTTGTCTACCTTTTCGTTAGGCCAAGGCACGCAATCGTCTGCTAGTGCACGCATTAGGGAATGCTGAGTTGCAGTTTGTGCGGGAGCATTAGGGCTGAAAAAAACGAAGATTCATCTTACGACAACCAGCAGCCAGTGGACAGTGAACCTTACTGCTCTAACACGTAGTGGGTGGAATGAAATTCGTAGCACTGCTAGCTTTACTTTACAAGGACTGCAGCTGTAGACACCATGTTCTGATTCGATGTGCAGTTCACATCGCTGATAGCCATTCGGAAAGTTCTTCTCGCCAGCAACATATAAACGCCAGGGCTCCATAAATAGTTTTGCATCGCAATTTAATTGTGCATTTCACAGAGAATTCAAAATATAATGGCAAGACGAATTTCAAATCAGACTTTTTCTGGATTTTCTGCAGCAGGATGTTTCCTACACTTGGCTCGTGCGTGTGCAATTTGTTTAAAAAAACTACGTGTGTGTTTACATTCCAGCGATGTTCTCTCCGACAAATCAAAATACCAATCACACGCTTCGTCTGTATAACAGCAGTAACATAAGTATTGCCCCATGCATTACGTACTCATTGTGTTATATCTTCTGAGTTTAATATACTCTGCAGGCTCAATATGTGATAATATTTAGTGTTCACAATATTGGTGTGCATTTTCTTCTCTGTTTGCAAAAAATACTGTACGTTAATTAAGCCTAAAATGTTTTTTGCGCATAGAAATAGGTGCACTTCTGGACAATTTTACTATCGTGCTTTGAAGCTGACATCGCAATCTACATCGCCTAGTGGTCCTCTTTTACCACCAAATATTTATGTTCATATTAATTTTCCACACGTTCCCATGCAGTTAAAGCATGGGAACGTCATGCAGTTAAGCAAGACGAATATTTAGCAGCCCTAAACCAATACAGGGCTTTGGAATGCGTAACTGATGGAGTGGATCCTGCAAGTTGGTATACTCTCATCCTCGGATGCAAAAAAAAAGTATTGACGTCATTTTGTGTGATTTTTTCAGGTGTGGATAGTCGACCTAGAGAATTATGATTGCCGACACTGTGGGAGCGATGTCCATTCACTATTATTAGTATGAATGGCTTTACATCCCAAACCAGGATTTGTTTGAGACACGGTCTGGTGGATGCCTCAAGAAAGTTTGTCTACCTGGTGTTTTTTGAGGAGCACTGACATTGCAAAGTAGGTGGCCTTCTCGTAATCCCCTTTCATCGAAATGCTGTCACCTGAAAAAATCTCAAACGCGCAATGTTTGGGTCAGCAGGCAAGCACCATAACCATTTCTTCAAGGTTCAAGTTCGAGGGAAATTTTGGTGGCTTAATAGGACTAACATACTCAACGATAGGAGTGCTGTGACACACTGGCTAGAAGTGTCCAAAGAGAAAAGCCGAGTTTTATGTTAGTCCCACTTGGCTCATTGTTGTCATAGCGGGAAACTATTCCACTAACTCAATCCTAGATATCTTGAAGAACCAGAGATTGAGAAACCTTAAAGTGAACGCAAATTCGAGTTCAGGACGTGCAAGTTTTAAGAATTGTAATAAATGGACGTTAGATAGCCAGTTGCGTGATTTACAACCAACCTACCCAAGGCATTTGAAGCGTTTATGCGGACGGTTGTATATCAAGACCAAACGAACATCTTGGTGTGAGAGTAACACTTAAATCTTTACAACTTTTTCGCACATTTATTACAGCAACAAAAGTGAAGAAAATGACTGTTAGATGTAGAAAACTTGATAGAATGGTGAAAATTAGTGTTATCATTGGCCCTTGCATCTGTTCATTATTAAACTGACCTTCTCGTGTAGAGTTTTATCTCTTTAGAAGGTTCGAATCGAGCCATGAATACTCGCATGTAGTGTAGCGTTAGCTACGTAGGGGAACATTACTGAAATGTAGCCAGTGGCAGAGAGTCAGATTCATTCTAAAATATGCCAGATTCATCGTGTTAACATGTTATTACAAACGCAAACTTGTGAGGTTGATTCATAAAGGTTCATAGGTCACATATTCGAACGTGGCCACTGCATTCGCATTTCGATGGAGGCGAAATGGTAAAAGCTCATGTACTATGAAAAGTCAGTGCATGTTAAAGAAGGTCACATAGTCAAATTGTCCAGATCCCACAACTACGGCCTCTCGCAAAATGATATCTTGCTTTTGGGACGCAAAACCTTACATAATCTTGTAAAAAGTAACCAATACTCACAGTCGAATGAAAGAAGCAATTATAATCAGTCTGGTGCAGGTACTAGTCCGTTCATCGTCACCTGTATTCTGCGAAGCTTTGTTTAGATACGAAGCAGCTTATTCGGTGTGCATGTTTTTCAGCATACGCAACAGCAGGCCCGAGCGCTGCCAGAACGCGCTCATGTATTAGCGCGTTCCGGCCTGTGTACTGTGCTAAGTAATACGCAGTGGCCCTACCCCTTACAATCTCTCAGCATTCATGTAACTGCTTGGGAGAACTAGATCTTGCAGGCGCACTATGAATCAGTGCATAGTATCCTATTTGTTATTTTGTTTGTTTTATGTTGCCCCTAATACTATAGCGCTCATATAAACCGTTAGAATATAATATATAGCATTAGAATGTATCGCTGGCGGTATTTAACTGGCAGGAAAACACCTATATATATCTATATATATATATATATATATACTATATATATATATATATATATTTTATATAATAAGATAATTTTTCTACATATTGTAACAGTGCGAAACTCGAAAAAGAAAACGCAATATATTGTCCTAAACACATAAGCGCACATGAAATTTTAAAATGCTCTTGATCTGCTCTTACCTGGTTCTAAAATAGGACATTACTTGACAATGTAGATGGTAAATAGTAGGTAAGTTCTATGTTTTCCGCTGATGATGCTGCGATTCCGTTCACGGTGACGTGGTCGTACAGATTCTCGCCTACGGGAAGATCAGCAATGACGTTGATCTGAAAGATGTGTGGAGCGGATCAGAGTGAGCAGTGTGAAAGGTTGAATATACGGGAATTTACTTTTTCAGTGAAACAAGAATTTAGATTGCTTGCAAGGATATACCACAAAGTAGTGCGGGCTGGCGCAAATGGTGGAAGGAGGAGAAAGATGAGGACAAAACAGGTGAGGACCCAGAGAGACGCAGACCAAGCAGAGACACGAACTGATATACATGGGCGCCATTTGTTAGTTCGTAGTTTCACTACCTCTTTGTATTTTTTGTGCCCTACCTGTATTTTTTAACTAGAAACCAACTAGCTCAACAGTAAAACCTCTTTAATTATAATGAAGTGAAAATGAATCGTTCTTTTTTCTTGGCACACAGTTTCGGGGTACCCGTTCCTGCGTTAAGTGGCGTCAGCATCGTCGCAAATGGCAGAGCGAATGAGGATGATAGTGATCGTGGAATGCAGTGCAGAAGATGACAGTAGTCGGTGATGGCGAGAAGCGCTTAAGGAGGAAGGCACGCCAGTGCTGAGAAAACAACTTCCGCGCCTGTCACTCGTGATGCTGCAGTAGTAAGCCTCGTCACGCGTTGGTTGTTACGGAGTGCACCCATTCGCAACCTTCCGCGTTCTCATGGCTAGTGAGGCCGTCGCGCTAAGCTAATTGTACGGCAGTTGATTTGAAGTGAGCTGCATGGAATGGTCCACGCCAGTCATGCTATTCTTGGTCTTTCTTTTTGTAATCCGTGTACTTATGTACAAAAAAGTGCCATCAGCTCTTCCCAATATACACTGATCCAAGTGGCAAAAGAGCTTCGTCGGCCACAGCTGCTGAGCGAGCTCGCTAGCAGAGGCTAAGCGCCACTACTGCCATAGTCCAGGGCAGTGCGCTGCTGAAGCAGAAATATTTGCCTCAAAATATCGCAATACCCGAACACCCCGGGAAGCGGCACTTGAATATCACATAACAAAATATCGCCATAATTAATAAATATTTGTGTTATTTTCATCTCCGATGTCCGCATCAGCATGCCTACATTTTTATAATGAACACTACTGATGGTTTAACGGGCTGCTTTAAATGACAACACGAGTGACGAAGTGCAAGAAAAGTAGTATTGAAACAAGGTATGTTGTGTTCATCCTTTGAAAAGCCCAAAAAGCCGAATATTTATGCGTAGGAATGATCGTCATAATGCGTACACAATATCAAACACAACAACAAAGGAAAGTTAGGAACACCCTTGCACCGAAGTAAAAGGACTCTTGCTGCCCATATACTTTTGCCCTCTGCATCGTCTCGAGGTGAACTGTCTGCTGTTGAGAGCATTTCTCTGAAAAAATTCGTCAAAGCAATAATCTCGTGTGCAGACAGTTGGCCACTAATAGGTACAAACAGGGATTTGAAGTCGCACTCTCTTGATATGTGTACTTTCGCTCATGTACCTTCCCAACAATATTGCCTCAATACCTAACCTCTATAAAGGCACAACAACGAAAAGAAATGGTATCTTTCTTTTAAATTTAAAGCATGTTTTTCGTCTTTTAATATAAAAGAGGAAGCCGGGAATGAACGCTGAAAACTGATAAGAAGGCCGCGGCGTTTTTATATAATATGGTGACAGAAAAATATATCACCTTATGAAAATTTACATAAAAATACACGTGCCCCTGCAACGTACAATTTACTATAAAAAGTAAGGAATAATCTTACAATAATGAGTGAAAGGTTTACACAAACCAGAGTCAGTAAAATATTATTTATTTGCTTTGTAAACTAGCTTTATTGAACCATGAAAATCAATATTCATTGGTATTTTAGTATGTTGACAAGTACCTAAAATCTTATTTTCTACTCCGCAAAGCTTGCTTCACTGCACACATTGCGATACGTGATTCGAAGCGTGGATCAGTCAAGACGTGCACTGACTGATATGATGGAATAATGTTATACCAGAAACACCGAAGTATCGAAACAATACTTACAATAACAAGTTTCAGCATAGTGACCTACATTTTTTCTGTCTCAAGTTTTTTGCGAAAGCGAACAGCTCAGTACATTGGGCTAGGGTGTTCATCAACCTCACTTAAGATAAATTGGTATATTATGAATTGGTTACAACCATAAAAACTGTAAAGTACATGGCAGCCCCCCCTTTTTTTACAGCAAAACTGGCAGTTATAACTTATCATATCCGTGCATCATATCTGCATACAACATACAAAGAAGTGGCAATGGGATTTCATTATCTCAAAACTGCTCTTCAAAGTATGCTGTGTATTTTAATGAGGATCATTTTTGTTATAAAACACATGCTCTATCTACATTCGACATGTTTCAGTAGAGTATATATCCTTCCGCGGTTATAGACGCCACTGCAATGTCACAAAGTTTCCAGCATCTCAGCCAAAAGTTTGAAGTGTACATTATCCTGTTGAATGCAAGTTGATGCATTTTGAAGTGGCCAAAGGGTAATAGATCTCGCAGCCATCTCAAGGTCACTTGTCTTTTAACGCGACGGCGGTAAAGAGCTCGTTTCGCAGACACTCGGGCGTCGGCGTTGTTGCTGTGAATTTCAATAGTTTTGAGCCAGAAATGATCATCTTAGGCGTGAACAAAAAATCCATCCGAGTAGGGATGAAACCTGGCTCATATTCATGGCAGGCACGTGTTCAGCCTCAGAGCCATATGTCTGCTTGTGATTGCAGAAGAATACTATTTTGTGCTTGAAAGTAGAGTGATACAAAATTTCTTGCTTTACAACACACGCAAATTGTAAACATCCTTCACAATACAACACTAAATATTGCAGCAATAATTTGTGGTAGAAGTGTCAAATGTCATGGGGTGTCAAAACATGTGATTATTCCAATGACTTCATGGTTTAAAGGGGCCCTCAAATACTTTTTCAAGAAACCATGAAACAGATTCAGTTAAAGAGCTCATTGGCTCCCAATTTATACGCTGCTAAAATTTTAGGGATTGGTCCAGTACGAGCAGAGTTACAAACATTTGTCGCAATCTGTAATCGCATTCTCACTTTTTTTGTCCCAACATAAGAGCTTGAAGCTAAGCAGGGAGGGACAGCATAGACCAAGAAAATACGTAACGCGCTCCACGGGACCTTGAGAACTTTTTCCTTTAATTCCAATGCGCGACCTCTCAGTGTGATTGCTTGCGCACGCGTGGACAAGTGGTGGCCTCCCACAGTGGTCCTTGTAACGACCGAGCGCGCCATGTTCAAATCAGCCAATGGCGAATAGAAGGTCGTCTACAAGTGATACTACACTGAAAGCTGTTATGAGATTAAAACTAGGGTCAAGCACAGTTTTGTGGCACCACCGCCACCGTTGGTGTCCATAACCACATCACACAAAATTATAAAAAATACTAGCACTAATGACACAGCGGGGCTCGAACCTGGGTCTGCTGGGGCCAGCCCAGTATTTTACTACTGAGCCACGCCGGTGATTTTTTTCGTTAATGCATGGAAATAGTGGCAATCAAAGGATGTGATATATAGCTATAAAATCAATCGTTTCAACTATATGCTCACGTGTACACATGCACAAGACACATTTTCATACAGTACAAGGAACTTTCAAAAGTCTGGTAAACAAACACGCATGTCCAGAAGTTCAAGCCACTCCCGAACAGGGTCGGACGCCTCTACAACAATACGCACGTTGGCTGCCTCTTCTCGAAAACAGACTCGGTTGAGCGAGGTGGCTCAGCACGTCTGTGAATCTTGCGGCTCCTCCATAATGACTAACGGCCCAATAACATAATTAAATCGTATTGAGCATAATTGTTCAGAGTTTTTTATTTGAAAGGTAGCAGCCTAACACCATGAGCTGTAATAGGAAAAAAATTCTTTTTTGATGGTTCTCTTGAAATGTCCCAAAAATAACACGCATCACAGCAATGAATAAAACAAGGCTCGATTGTTTCAGGCTCGTTCCACAGTCTGGAATTTAGTGACAAGGGTACGTATATATCTTTTTCATGAAGTCACGTCCTTACAGGTAATGTGGAGGTGTGTAGCCTAAAGAAAATTGTTTTCCCTGCTGGCGATATACGCATTTTAAGCATACGGTATAACACATCGTGAACAGTTCGAGATAAATATGGCTGTCGGTAAACAGGTTCAAGGGAGAGGGTGCTGACAAGTGCAGCAGTCAGTGTCACTCTTTCTACACTGTAGAGATATTCTAAAGAGAATCTTGCTTTCAAAAACTGCATGGCCTCAACAATCTTTAAAAAAAACTCCACAATTGCGCTTTTTAGCCACTCATGTCGTGACAAAAAAAGAGAGCTAGTAAGCAAGTCGATTCCCGATAACATTCAAAAGGAACGGGTGACACACGTCCTCAAGGTAAAAAAAAATTGCATCCCCAGCTGCCGTACAAACAAACGCACAAGACTAAGCGCCCCCCCCCCCCCCTTCTGAAGCGGAGGAAAAAGGTTGTCTCTTCGCATGGCTTCTTATGATGAATTCCAAACGAAGCAAGCAAATATCCAGCAAAACGCCTGGATATGTACGTGAGAGCAATGCAATACTTGTAGAATATAGATAAGCTTTGATGCAAAAAAAAAGATTTTGCATGCTTCAGATCTCCAAAAAAACGAAAAGATCCCACCGTTGCCAAGTTAACGCATTTCGACTGATTGTGGTTAAGGTGGACGTCCAATGAGGGTCACTATTACAGTGGGTGTCAAGAGGCACACCAAAATAACGAACTGGAGCACTATTACCACAAATATTTGCAAACACCGAGGGAGTTAGTGCCCATGTGCCCAATCAAGACCATCTGGTTTTATCAAAACTTACTTAAGCTTCGGAAATTTTACAAAAAACTGTTCACTGCTTCTTCAACACTCCGTTTATCCAGGCAGAACGAGGCATTGCATTTGCGTAGGATAAGACTCTAATTTCCTCTGATTCATATCTATAGCCTCTAATACCTAAATGAAGCAGTACACTTGCACAAAGCGGTTCCAAGCATACAGC